ATTGGTAACTGAATTTGTGAAACGATGTAAGAAGCAGAGAATCATATGTATGCATTATATACATGTCTTTGTCAGTGCGTGTGAGAGGTGGTACCTGGCATTTGGCCTGATTCTCGTCCAGCCTTGTGAGGGCATGGATGAGTAATGAACTCTTAACTATCTTATCAGCTACAGACCAAATGGTTTTTAGCTTAAAAAGTTGGGGTTCTCCATACAAAGATGAAAATTCTGTTCACTCCTCTACTTTGCAAACTGTGCAAATACTTGCACGCTTACTAATTTTAACTTTCTAATTTTTTGACTTCATCCAACAACTCTGCAGGACAAAAAAAAGCATTCACCATATCCAGGCCTCTAAATGATAGTCCAAGGCTCATACCAGACGGAAATGGCACCTGCAATGGAAGAAAATCAGATGGGAAAGAGTTAGCAATTCATCACTTCATAAGAAGAAATGCTTCTTTCCTTCTTTATTGTGAATAGATCAACTATTGAAATGTATTAGCAGTATCGTACGTACCCCAATAGACCTCTGCCTTGCCATATCCTCGGTGTGACAGATAAATCGACCTTTGCACCTTGCCTTATAACTCCAACAGAAACTGCTTGTCCCTGGTTAGACTGAGCTTCAGCGGCAAGCTTTTGCAACAGGTTGTCACCACCTTCCACATTACCAAATTTCACAACCTGATCTCCAAGCTGTAAGCCATCCTCAGCTGCTGGAGATGACTCGGTTATCTCATCAACCATGGCAAAGGGAATACTAGTAACCACATCAACATCCATGGCACGGGAAGTAGCACTGAAGCCAGCTGTCTGCATTGAGGCAGATAAGGAACTCACTGCACCTGACGAGATTGATTCTTCTGGACAACCTGCATCATTTCCTACTCATAAGCTTTTTACCCACATCGTGCATATGGTTTTAAATTATAAATGTCTCAGTGAGCATCTAATAGTCCTAGCATAAGCAAATGACTATAATCAAAGTGAATGAGTAACCCAACCAAAGACTACAACGTGAAGCTTGGATCTCTATGTCCAGTCATACCTGAATCTTTCGTGGATGAAGCTCTGGATGTAGGCCTCACTGAATGAAGAATTTGAATGTTCACATTGATTTTTTCCGTAATCTCACTGTGCTCATTCCTTAACTCTGCAGAAACTATATTAGAGAAAGAAACAAACTCAAAGCGGAAGGAGCAGCAAAGAAGCTACACATCCACTCTATAGCAAATGCTAATTAACATGATATAGAAACTCAAGCTTGATTCTTTCCAGTTTCATCTCTGGCTCACAAATCCATGAAAACCCCTCAAACAAAGACAAAAGCTAAACTATATACATAATGCGAAATTGTTATGTTTCCTTAGTGTTATTTAAGTTTAGCCATGCCTTCGACTTGTAATCTTACCCTAACATTGGACTAATTCAGCATAAAGACAAAAGAAAAAGAGGAAAAAGCACCAGCAAGACGACGACGCTCAGCTCTCACCAACGGAATATCAAAATTTGTCCGAGGGAATCCCTGTCATAAACCCAAATAAACGAATCAAAGGCAGCAAAATAAGCAGATGTGTTTAAGACTAAAGTACCTCCGAGTCGACGAGATTGCCGGAGAGACCAGGACCACCGGGAATGCAGAGACGTTCGACAATAGAGTTCATTTCAGTCTCCATGGCTGATCTCTTCTCCATTAGAGCCATCGTCTCAGCTTTCAGATTCGCCCCAACCATCTTCTTCC